CAGGGATCTAATTGATCAATTTGTGAAAAGTTCAGGTACTAAATTGAAATAAATCGAAGTATGGGGGTCAACGTGAAAAACGCGTTTAAGGTAAATTTTGAAAATGATATTTCCTCTAACATTAAAAAAAAAAAAAAAAGTTTATGGATAAAAAGATAAGTTATAATTTTTTTATTGTTTGTAACCACAAAAAAATTACTTGCACATATAATCATTAAAATTATAAACAAAATAATTTAATGAAACAAAATTAGGGCAAAATAATTAGGAAAAATTTATTCAATTAAAACTGATAAAGACCTAGGTAACAAAATTAGGGCAAAATTATTTATTCCACTAAATCTAATAGATAAAGAATGTAAAAAAAAAAATAAAATTAGGACCCATATATTATATATATTGTTCTTCTTGGGCTCAAACATTTTTTTTTAATATATATTTTCATTTTAATAAATATGGGTCAAACTACACTTATAAATAAATATTGGCTAAACCATACATGGACCAAATAAAATATTTTGGAGCCTTTTAAATTAATCATAAAACTAAAAAAAAAAAAAATTGGGTCTAGAACATTTTACTAAATTTGGAGGCCCTACTTTTAGGCCAAAATTTTGGGGCCTAAGGCACAGGCCTTACTGACCTTAAGCCAGGGCCGGCCCTGGTTTCGGTGAAGGAAGTTCAGAAAAGAAAGAGAGAAGAAAGAGAGAAAGAAAAATTGAGAGAGTGTAACTTGTAAATATTAGAATGTGGTAGTTATATGAGTGTTAAAGTTAATGTTTTCTACTTAGGGTAGAGATGAAATCTTGACTAAGTAATTAGGGTTTATTGTATTTTATATTTTTAGTTTTGATTTGATTTGGATAAATTGTATAATTTTTTGATATTTTTGTGCAATAAATATTTTATTCAAATCATGTTATACAATTATTTTATTACTGTATATTAAAATTATTAGACGAGTTATGTCTAGTAAGACAGGTCGTACATCAATCATAATTTAGTTTAATTTAGTAGTGACGGTCCGTGTTAAGTGAAGATGATTCGTGATTTTTTGATTTTAATATACAAATCTTCTTGACAATGTATTTCTGATTAACTTACATCATATTATCCAAATTAATGATTTTCTGAAAACTAATAAAATAACCCCTAATTATAAAATTAGTGGTGGATTTAAAACTCTGAGAAATTTCTTATTTTATTTTATTTATTTTATGTTCAAAACCAAACTTTTTAAATTACTTTAATTATTATATTTTTATTAAACCGCTATATTTTGAAATAATAATTATTACTTAATTATAAATAAAATATTTTGATATGTAAATGACGATATGAATCACCTCCAAACTTAGCACACATCGTATTAACACATGTAGATAAGTCCTACGTATATATAGGTACTTACGAAGAAGCATGCTAATGCCAATTCATGATTCCAACCTATATTCTAGCCTAATTCCTTGGCTTGACCACAATCTCAAGTCAATGTTGTGTTTTAATGAAGTCTGTATATCAGTCAGCTAAATGATATGAAATTATTGGTAGCATTCATGGACCAAAACAACCCAAAGGAGTTTTTCTCCTTGCTAATTAATATAACATATTGTCTGTATTTTGTTTTTTTAGCATTTAATCAAATCTAAGATTTATTTATATTACTTTAGCTAAAGTTTTAGTACCTAAATTGAATAGTGCAGCACTTGAAACAGAAATTTTCAGCATATATATTATAGTTTTCAGCACTCACAGTCACTTCCAGAACTTAAACACAACATTTACAAAAAAGTCACTATTTCAGGGGAGCTTCTAGTTACACCCAATTAATATCTCATTACATCCATATGTACAACACTTACTTCATAAAATACAACTTTAACAATGCATAAAATCAGTGTAATGAGATATTTTAATTGTGTAAATAGAAGCTCCCTGTATTTCAGCTTATAAGCTATAATTTCAGCAACTAGTCAGTTTATTGTAGCTTTTGAGCACTAAATTTAACACTAAACTGTTTCAGCTTGTAAACTTTGTTCGTGCAAATATAATCAAGGTATTAACATACAAAGATTATTTCAGCATTTAACAATAATTTTGTACAGAAAATTTCTGGGCTCTTAGTTTTAAATTCACAATTTCAGCATCTACTGAAATTGTTTCAACTTTACGCTTTCAGTTCAACAATTTAGGCACTTGACCCAACTTTCAAACAAACACTAATCACCATTTAGAGAAGCTGTTATAGGTTCTGAATGATTGTTCAACAGCTAAAAATCATGGTTTTTAATCCATAGAGAAATTACAATTTTTTTTTTTAATTTTATTTAGCAACTTGATCATAAAAGAACAAAATACCAAAACTTTAACTTACAACAACCTCGTACTTATACACAAAACATGCACAAACCATATTATTCATCTAACCCAAACATCCACATGCTACTGTATAACAAAAGCAATCAAACAAAATAAAATAGAACCAAATATTAACCTTAGCTTTACAATTTAAAAATATAATATGAACTATTAGCAAGAACTCCTGTTAACTCAAACCAATTTCAAAGTTGAATTCCAAGCAACTATAGTTCCTTTACTCATGGCTTGATAACATTCAAATTTCTTGGAAGTATTTAGATTTTTCTCCAAAATCCAGTGGGTTGCTCAAGAATAGTCTTAACCAAAGCTTAAAGGCCCCGTTTGTTTTGGGGTTAAATAGATGAGAGAGGATTAAGATGGAGGTAGAGTTATTTAGTGTTGTATTTGTTTTGGGAGTTGGGGAGGGGATTAGGATGGGGGAGGTGATATAGATAGAGGTTGGAAGGGAATTGAGATGGAGATGGTATTAGAAAAATAGTGAAGGGATTAGAATTTTTTTTTATTTTTTTTTATATATTGGGAATTTTTTTTTAAATATTAATGTTTAATTTTTTATATTTTTTATTATTTTATATAAAAATAATTAACAATTCCTACACTAACAACTATCATAAAAACAAACACAATTTTACTTAATCCCCTTACTATCAATCCCCTCACTATGAATCCTCTCCATTTTATCTCTGAAAACAAACGGGACCAAAGCATGTACCATAACAAGGCTAAAGCCTAAGGAATTTAAAACAAAATAGGGGTTTGTGTGCACTGCCTTCTCTTCTCTTGTCCAAAAATCTCATTGTCCAAAAATCCTGATAAAAACAAAACCTCCTTCTCCAAAAAGACTCCTAATAATAAAGGTTGGGAATAATCCTCAATTCTAATTACAAGAATAGAAGAACAAAATAAATTTTACATTAAATATGTTTTAAAATAATAATAATAATAATAATAATAATAATAATAATAAAACATATTATTGGCATATAGAAAAAGGTCTCACATAAAAATTTCACCTTAGGCCTTGTCAAAGATTGGGATGCCCCTGATTGTTTTCACTGTTATGCTACAGCAACCACATCAGCGCCACCATTACCCTTATGGTAGCCACTCCCGTTACTTAAAACCTCAAGTTGAACTGACAAACAGTGGAACAAAAGCACCATGGAAAGATGTCTGTTGTACAAAACAGGAAGGTTGATTGGGAATAAAAAAAATGTGGAGAATTGGAACAAAGCTACGATGGCAAATGACATCTGCAACTTATTTCAACTAGCTATTCATTTGAAAGGAGAAAATTTTGGGTTTGCCAAAGGTGCCCAAAATTGTTCGTGAACTCTTGAATCTTGGAAAAGCTTCTCTCTGATTATTAAATGTGTCAACTGGCAATGGTAGGACTAGATTATGCTTTGACCTTTGGTTTCATAGAGGTCCAGGTCCAATATATGGAGACAGAGCAATATACAAGACAGGCCTAGGCAGAGCCAGCTCAATCAGTTTGACCAAGGTTACTGTCTGCGGTAGCTTAGCACTGACAGTACTAGGAAACAAGGAAATAACTACTATAAAATTCCAGTTCAATTGTACATTATGCTCCTGGGATTATTATCTACTTTTATACACACTGTAACCTTTGCACATACAATGGAAACCAACTACACTGAAGCAAGCAGCCAAATCACAGCTCATGTTATGCACAACACCATAAACCACCTGCAAGCCATATGATAAAGCAATGACAAGGAAATAGCCTTGGATTACCAAACTAACAGAACAGGAGGATGACAAACATACAACTGATTCCAAGCAGAAAGAAACTAGGAAATTCTCATCAGAAGTTAAAAGTCCTTCTGATTTTGTCATCCTGAGAGACGGTCGGCTGCAGCTGAGAAGTGGGAAATTAAGTCAATAGTTGTAGCATTCTTGGGAAACACATAAACATATATGATCCTATCACCTCAATGAAGCTGAATATACTAATCATTGTTGATATGCATGTTGGGGTAGTGGAATTGTGAACGGGATTCAATGAGTTCAAGAAGGATATGAAAGTAATGAGAAGTGAAAATTTATATTTAGGTTCTGCAAAAAATTAATATTCAAAAGGCCTTTTTGAAAATAGAATTATCACAAGGAGAAAATTACAAAGCTTCTTGTTTCCGCCCAAAAGCCCCATATTTACAGTTTTCTGCTTTTGCATAAAAACAGAAAAAATCTTCCTACAGTTACATTTTGCTGCTGCAAAATGGATTAAAGACTGTTTTTGGGAGGCTCATGGAGAGCTTAGACAGCTGGTTCCTCGTCACCTCGTCTTTTAATTATTGCCAGAAGCTGTAGAAAAATCTGCACTTAAATTTTACTAATGTTATCAAAGTATCTGATGTTTTGATATGTTGAAAACAATGCAATTTTTTTAACATACATCGTCAATTCATGTTATAATGTTTAAAGAAGCTATTGGATATAATTAATTGGAGTCCGTAGAACAAAAGTTAAATCTCCATCAAAACAACTTCAGGCAAAGCCCAAAAAATTGCAAAAAGCAGTAGTTATTTATATGAACAAAAACTCACTGATATACTTTAGATGACAAAATCAAAATCTAGGAAATATTTCAGAACTTACAGAACAGCTGCTATTAAAAGAGATCAAGTAATGCAACGGCCTCTAGAGACGAATGGCTCTCTGATTGTTGCTGATGGAACAGAAATTAGTGGCACATCCTCTCCATTTGAGGCTTCTCCGAAATCCTGAGACCTAATAATTTCACTCAAGTTATCAGGTAGTTTAGCTTCACCTTCCAAGTATTTTATTACGACAGACATGCTCGGCCTAGCTGCAGCCACGGCATGTGAGCAAAGCAACCCCAGCTTCAACACCAACTCAGCTTCCTCAACCACATACTCAGTTCCCAGACTTTGATCAATGGCCTCAAGAATGTTTCCCCTTTCCAAGCACTCAAACACCCAGTCGATCAAAATTATCTTCTCGGGAGAAGCTCGGGGCTCCACTGGTCTTCTACCACAGACAACCTCTAGCATAAATGTCCCAAATGCAAACATATCAGTGTTCGTATTTGCTTTTCCGGTACGGGCCAGCTCAGGTGCAATATAGCCGAGAGTACCGGCCACATGGGAGGTTTGAGGATCAGTTCCATGCTCACATAATTTGGCAAGCCCAAAATCTCCCAATCTTGCATTGAAGTGACTGTCTATCAAGACATTGCTGGCCTTGATATCTCTATGAATGACAACCTGTACCCATTGGTGGTGCAAATAAAAGAGGCCTGATGCTACATCTTTGATGATCTTAAATCTTTGCATCCCATTTAGCATTCCCTTGCGCTGGCCATAAAGAAACTTGTCAAGACTTCCATTAGGCATGTAATCATAAACCAAGAGGAGTTCTTGCTTATGCCTGGAATACCCAAGGAGGCGAACTAAGTTTGGGTGACGCAAGCGGCCTATGGTTGCAATTTCTGCTACAAATTCCCTCATTCCTTGTCTTGAATCGTGGGCAACTCTTTTGACAGCAACCTGTGTATTCAATGTTGGTAGCACACCTCGGTAAACTGTACCAAAGCCTCCCCTGCCAAGAAGTTTTCTCTCTTCGAAACCCTCTGTGGCAATAGAGAGATCTTTATAACTGAATCTGTGAGGGCCATATTGGACCTCCCAATCCTCCAGCACGTCAATAAACTTTTTCATTGAGATTAGAAGACCACCAGCTAGTGAGACTAGGAGGAGTACAAGAAATAAAATGAATGGAAACAAAACTTCCAGTACTGCGTTCGGTTCTCTGTCTATTTCTTGTGAAGGCTGGGGGGTCTTAGGAATGCGAGATAGGTCAATCTGTTCAGCTTCACCATTCATCTTAAAACTCCAAGCTAGTATGTAATAATCAGATGCAGTAAGCCTGCCTGTGGAGGTCGAAAAGCCTACATACATGTTGTCAAGTATGACTGGTGAAAGATCTCGCCTCAACGATATGAGTGGGAGGTCAGGCTTGGTTACATTAATAGGAGAAAGGGTAACATTAATTTGCTTTTCTACTCCATTATATTCCACCCAAACCTGCATTGGGTCACCGTTTTTGAGTTTTAGATCTTTGAAGGTACCATTTTTACCTGCAGGAAAGTAACCTGCACTAGCTGATATGATTGATTTCAAGCCATTAATATCGATGCCAACATGGTTGTTGTCTCTATCATCGAATTCAACGTCTTTGAAGGTGTCCATCTCAACAGCAACAATATGATTTGAACTACTCCCCGTGTTGATATCATTAAAGAGCCCAAGATATCCAGCAGGCCGAGCACCCCTGAACTCTTTGGAAGGTGAAATAACAAAGGCCATTCCATGGCCATCTGAACTTGGGTACTTCTGTACAATCTCAAAGATGAAAGTAGTAGAGAAGGAGATGACCCTACCGTTGTTTGTGGAGTTCTTGAATTGGATGGCATCGTTGTAGAAAGCGTGGCCCGTCTGTCGTGAACTAGTACTATTGGTTAGCATCAATAGGCCTTTGGAATCAATCTTTGCAGTTCCATCCAGCTTCATTGTGGACCCATTAAAGATGAAATCATCCAAAGGACTACTGGAATATGCAAATTTTAAAAGGAGAAATACCGCCATGATCATGTAAGACATGACTAGCTTATCTTACAAATGCAATAGTTAGTAGTTACAGAAATTGAACTCGAGTCTCCTCATACCCTAACTTTATCCACATGCAATTTTACATGGTGAGAAGCAAGTGTTGAATGGGATCCACCTCACTCAATTTACGACTGACATATAGATATTCCATCAATTGAACAGGCAAATTTCACGTGGTGAGAAGCAACTGTTGAATGGGATCCACCTCATGACATTGACAACCCACTACCCCATTACGAGGTATAATTGATTATGTTGCTCTTGACTGGAGTTGGTGCAGCTCGCCTTCTTGGTGAGGAAAAGATAAAACAAGGGGGAAAGAGGTGAGAGTAATTATGCAAACCCATATAAAGAATGTAATGTGACTGACACTGCATATTCTAAACATATAAAAAAAATTAAATAAACAAAATTATTGGTCTGTATTATTTTCCAGAAAACAGGAAGAAAATGACCCACAAGTTCTTTATTCCTTCAATGAGGACACTACATGGATGGTAGTAGTGCGGTTGAAGCATAGCTATCAAAATGTGGGTCAGCTAGCCAAATGAATTTAAAAAGAGAGAAAAGAGGTGTGAAAGAGAAAATGGAAGAACCAAAAGTTCTTTATCCCTTCATTCAACCACATGTTAATCCCAATACAGTCCATCTTCTTCTCTTCATTTTTGAGAGAAGCAGTGGGGTCCATTTTGTTTGTATTTAACAAAAAATGTGAAAGTCATTTCTCAATTTTATTTTTTTATTTATATTTTTTTGCAATGTTTGTTAAAGAAGTTAAATAGTCTATTTCTATTTGACTTGAGAATTTTGTCAAATACTTGGCATGTTACACTACAGTGTTTTTGTGTCTATGCCAACCATACTTTGGCATGTTACATGAAAAATAATATGTATTTCTGACTCTCAAGTATGTCATGTCCCTTGATTCCATTGAATTGTGTGAAAGAACAGATTCGTAAGTAGTTGGAGAAAGAGACACCACAACAAATGGCACTTTTTACTGACGTCTCTAGATTAGTCATTGAATGATTGTCAAGAAAGGTAATTGGCAACTAAACCTTAGATAACAAAACAAATGAATGAAGAGATGGTGAAATAAATAGATCCATGATTAAACATACTTGCTTAACATCGATCTGAACACGTTCGTGTCAATCAAAGGGGCTGTTCAACATGCTCGAATGAATGAAAAAAGGCAAAATAACAAAAACCCACATAAAAAATAGATATATTTATTTTGCACTCAATATAAAAAGATCAATGCAAATTGAGCTAGTGCCAATCTAAGGGGTAGCTAAGCAAGCTATAATTGATCAAACAAACGAAATAACAAACACCCGGATCATAAAAAATAGGTAATTTGATGATAATACCGTGGATTCATTGTGACAATGACGACAATCGAAGACCTCGTTGCAGCAGGGAGCTCTGATCTTGCATCTTCTACAATGCTTGCAGCTGTAGAAAAATCAAATAATCATCAAATAGAGCTCAACCCACCAAACAAACAGTAGAAGATAATATTTTAAAAAATAAATACAGAGAGATGGAGATACCCATAACCCATCTTCCCAAAATCAAGGCTTTCATTAACAGAGACAACAAATGAAACAACTTTTGTGAAAAAAATAGCAGGTATGTGCGATCTGAATAAGGCGCAAATGGGTGTTTTGCAGACTAAGAATGCAGACATCCGGTTATGCCTCTGTAAACGGTGCAAGCGGTGCACCAAACAAGGATCTAGCACAAAAAAAACCCATAAAGATTATCAGAAAATGCTGGCTGGGGCTGTTTTCCAAATATCTGGCTAAATCTTGAATCTGGAACTAGAGAGAATTCTTGACACTATTCAGAATAAGGCCTCGTCGGGAACAGGGCTTTTTTTTAAGTCAACTTTTGATTTTTTTGATTAAAATATGATGTAAATAAAATTAGCATGTTTGTGATGATTTTTTGACTTTTTATGAAAAGATTTATAAAATGCAGAGAGAAAATGAAATTTTTGACTTTTTAGTATGGGTTGTTAGCTTTTTAATTTTTTTAATAATTTTTTGACTTTTTGACTAAAAGAGACACTTGTCAAACGAGGTCTAAGTGTAATTTTTTATTTTTTATAAAAAAAAATAGAGGAAGAGTAGAAAAATATAGATGATATATTAATAGATTTCAAATGAGAATGCAGACATCCGGTTATGCCTCTGTAAACGGTGCAAGCGGTGCACCAAACAAGGATCTAGCACCAAAAAAACGCATAAAGATTATCAGAAAATGCTGGCTGGGGCTGTTTTTCAATTATCTGGCTAAATCTTGAATCTGGAACTAGAGTGAATTCTTGATACTATTCGGAATAAGCGTAATTTTTTATTTTTTATAAAAAAATAGAGAAAGGTAGAAAAGTACAGAGGATATAATAATAGATTTTGATTGATATAATCTAAATAAATATATGTATGTAAAAAATATATATTTTTTTAGTGTATGCTGAACACTTATCCAATACGTATTAGGATAATTAATGATATATTTTTTATAAAATATTATTAAAAAGTATTATTAATTATTAATTTTTAGTAATGGTTTAAAAATTTTATCATTAATTATAAATTTTTGTGGTAGTTTAAAAAAATGGTTACAAGAAGTTAATAATTTGTAACTTTTAACGATAATTTGAAAAATTTATCACAAAAAATATTATTAATTGTAAGTTTTAGTAATAATTTATAAAAATTGTGACAAAAAAAAATATTAATTATCAATTTTTAGCAATATATGTAAAAAATCGTCATCAAAAAAAATATTTTTAGAGACGATTTTATTAGGATTTGATAAGAATTAAGTCTAACTATTAAGACCTATTGATAGTTTACCTAATAAATTACATGTTCTTTCAATTATTTTATTAAAACCCATTTCAATCATTGGTTCATTAATTTCATAAAAATCAAAACCCTACACTATAAAAGAAAAAAACCTAGAGCCAGAATGGAATGGGAAAATAGAGGAAGGGAGATAGAAAAACATAGATTGAGGACAAAGATAAAGAGAATAAGTTTTCAGAAGAGAGGAAGAGAAAAACCTCAATATTACAGCGAAGCAAGCGACAGTGGCGGTGGCGGTGGCGGTGGCGATGTGCGACAGTGGAAGATCGACGTTGAGTGATGGTGGAAGATCCACAGTGAGCGATGGGAGGTAAAGTGATAGTGAGTCCATGAGAGAGAGAGAGGGAGAGAGAGGGGGAGAGCCTTGTTTTTGTTTAGGTTAGAGACTCATAAAAACAAATATGAAAAAAAATAATAAAATAAAACATAAGTAGTGAATTGTCTCTAAATCTGAGAAAGTTTCTACTAAAAATTTGCTATTATTGCCAATCAATCTAAATTTTAGTCGCTTATTGTAGCACTTTTGGCAATTACAGATATTTTGGTCGTCGAAAAGAAATATTTACTGACCAAATTTTTGGTCACCAAATATAAAAGTAAAATTTATGCTTTTTATTTAGTGACTAAATTATTTTAGTAGATAAAATTTACTTTACAATGACTAAAAGTTTTTTGGTCACTGAAAATGAATATTTGCCGACCAAAATTTTGGTCGCCAAAATTAATAGCAAATATTATGCTAGCTTTTTGGCAACAAAATTTATTTTAGTAGGCAAAAACTGATACACCACGACTAAAATAAATTTTAATAGCCTAAAACATGAACTAATGCTGACTAAAATAATTTTTAGTCGCCTATTGTAACATGTTTAGCAACTAAATTTTTTTCAGTCGCCAATAATTAATATACAGCTATTAAAAAAAATTTATTAGCTAAAACTATTTTCAATACCGACCAATATAATTTTTAATTGCCTATTCTATAATTTTTGAAGACTAAATTTCTTTTAGTCATCAAATTTAGTTATTAAAAATGTAAATTGTTGTACTGATAAATTGTCAGTCTGTATTATTGTTTGAAAAATTGAATGAAAATGACCTACAAGTTCTTTATTTCTTTCATGAGGACATCACATGGATGGTAGTGTGATTGAAGCATAGCTGTCATTAGGGGTGGGCGCGGGTCGGTTGCGGCCACGGAACCTCCAATCCGCCATCCGTCCGCCAGATTGGCGGATTGAAGAAAATCAATCCGCATCCGTCCGCCAATCCGGCGGATGTGGATTGAGCGGATTGGCGGTTTGGCGGATGGATGCGAATCGGTTTGGCGGTTTAAAATTTTATAAATTTTTAACATAATTCAACTTGTGCACTTCCTCAAACAAAAAAAGAAAAAAAAGAAAAAGAAAGCATTACAGTCAATGACTTAAAAAAAATATTACAATCACTGTATGCCTTATCCAAAGAAAAAAAGTTTGAAACTTTAGAATATCATGATCACTGCATGCCTCATCCACATATTACAATCACAGTATGATTCATCCCCATAAAGTATTACAATCTGTGATTCTTAAAATATAATAACAATTCAAATCACCAAAACCATGAACAGAGCAGTAGTAGAGATTGAATGTCTCTGTATTGTTACATCTACATATGTTTTTGAAAACAAAAACCAACCAGCATATATCATATTTTCTATTTATTATTTTTAGAGTTACATTTAAAAACTAAAAAATATATATGAATAATACGTTTATTTTTTTGAATTCAAAAAATATATTCAAGTTGAAAACTTTTTTTCAACAGAATATTTAAACTCTTTTTCAATTGAAAACACAAATATAATATTTAAACAAATTAAAAATACAAAGTTTTATAAATTACTAGGGGTGCTCGCGATTTGGCGGTTTGGCGGTTCGGTTGCGGCCAAAAAATCTCAAATCCGCCATCCGTCCGCCAAATTGGCGGATTTGAGAAAATCAATCCGCAACCGTCCGCTCGTCATCACGCATCCGTCCAAAATGCGGCGGATCGGTTTGGTTCGGTCGGTTTTGGCGGATCGGTATATCCGCTGCTCACCCCTAGCTGTCATACTGTGAGTCAGCTAGCCCAATGAAGAAAAAAAGGGCGAAAAAAGGTGTGAAAGAGAAAATGGAAGAACCAAAACTTCTTTATCCCTTTGTTAAAAAAAAGTTCTTTATCCCTTCATTCACACCATGAACCACATGTCAATTCCAATACAGTACATCTTCTCTTCATTTTTTTATCTTTTTTATTTTTTTCAATTCTGGTTCAAGATGTTAAATAGTCTATTTCTATTTGATTTGAGAATTTTCGTTGAATACTCGGCATGTTAAGTATCCCAACCACAGTATCACTTGTAATATTGGAGATTGAATGCCTATTTAAGAAGCCCGAAGATGGACATGGGACAAAATAATTTTTAAAAAATAAGATATGAACACGGAGGGAATATGGCAAATTTTTTTAATATACTTCCATTTGCTATTTATATGAATATAAATTTAGAACACATAGATAAAGTGGCATCAATATATATATATATATGACACGAGTAAGCTCATAAAGATTATAGCCCATCATTCAGGCCAAATACATAACTCAAATGTTAAAACCCAACACTGCTGAAGCCCCATGTAGCAATAAGAACCAATGACACCAAGACACATGACGAGAGAAGGGCAAGCCACATCAGCCGACAAAGATCTACAAAGTTATTGCCACGGCACATCGCTATTAATGAGGCCCCCTTACAGCATTTATTGCGATAACCCCCCTTCGTCGGAATAGAACACCTTCACCATGAACAAGGTAAGCTAGAGCATAGACTTTCGGCCAATGTGACAGGTCGGAAGGGACAATGAAATGATTACCAGAAGATATAAGCATAGGTCGAAGACAGAAAGAAGATTAAGCTTTTTATTTCTAATCCATCACTACACTCCACTTCTCTTTCTAACTTGCTCACTGGAGGGTTCACTGGGGGACTACCTGTTCCCCGTTGAACTCATGTGCAGGTCTTTCGGTGGGCTTGGTCATTCGGACGTAGGATTGAGGAGCGTAGATTAGTCCGATCCGTTCTGCCTAGAACGAACTGTATCATCAGTTGGCGCCGTCTATGGGAACTCTCTTACTCTGCGCGCCAGTTGTGCTCATTGTCGTCGGAGGCCCTTTCCCAATAACCCCCTCCTACCACCTTGATGATACAGTTCGTTCCAGGCAGAACAGGTCGGACTGATCCACGCTCTCAAATCCTACGTCCGAATGACCAAGCCCACCGGAAGACCTGTACACAAGTTCAACAGGGAACGAGGAGTCCTCCAGCGAACCCTCCGACGAGCAAGTTAGAAAGAGAAATGAAGTGTAGTGAGGGATTAGAGATAGAAAGCTTAACCTTCTTTCTGTCTTCGACCTTTGCTTATATCATCTGGTAATCATTTCGTTGTCCCTTCCGACCTGTCACCTTGGCCGAAAGTCTATGCTCTAGCTTACCTTGTTTATGGTGAAGGCGTTCTGTTCCAACGGAGGGGGGTTATCGCAATAAATGCTGTAAGGGAGCCTCATTAATGGCGATGTGCCGTGGCAATAACTTTGCAGATCTTTGTCTGCTGATGTGGCTTGCCTTTCTCTCGCCATGTGTCTTGGTGTCATTGGTTCTTATTGCTACATGGGGCTTCAGAAGTGCTGGGCTTTAGCATTTGAGTTATGTATTGGGCCCTGAATGGTGGGCTATAATCTTTATGGGCTAACCCATGTCAGTTGTCCCCCACTCCCAAGTGTAGTTTTAGTCCAACGAAGGGAATAATCAAGAAAATGAGGGTGGTGAGAGACCGGCAGGGTGAAGGTCAATCGAGAGGAGTAACCGACCATGAGGAGGGCCGACCGCGAAGGGTGGCCGAGTGGAGGGGCCGACTACGAAGAGGG